TGTATGTGTGCATCTGCTAGTGAGGGAGCTTCTGTGTGTGTACCTGCTAGTGAGTGAGCTTGTATGTGTGTCAGTGAGCTTGTCTGTAGGGATTGTGTGTGTGTTAGTGAGCTTGTCTGTAGGGAGCATGGGAGTGTCTGCTCCTGTCTGTGGTGAGCATGTGTGTGCAGTGAGCTTGTCTGTAGTAAACTTGTGTGTGTATCAGAGTTTGTCAGTACTAAATTTGTCTGTACACACTACATGGCACAATGACTTATGGGGCTGCCATAGATTTTTTTCCAGGGCTGCTTCGTGTCCCCAGTCCGGCCCTGCTGTCAGCCCAGCCCCAGGTGCCGCGACCCACCAGGAAATTTCCCGGTATCCCGGTGGGCCAGTCCGGCCCTGACAAAGCTTCAGGAAGGTCCTGCAGCATCCAGGCTTCAGTAGTATGCTGCAGAACCAGCACGGCTATTCAAAACCACCAGGGTAGGAGTTGTCAGGAGCAGCAGCATCTTATCCTCCACGTTGCCCTATTCGTGCCCATAGGAACCCTTTAACCGTGTTCTACCAGAGAAATATAAATATCCAAGTCTCTGGCCAGGGATTTGGATTTTTTGCGCACCCCTAGGCAACTGCCTGTGTCGCGTTATGGTAGGGCCAGTCCTGCTGACAGTGAGGAGGACCACATAGGAATATTTAAGTTTTCCCTGACTTTTTTTTTTTTTTTGCACTTTTACAGATAAAATAAAAAATACAGGTGTTCCTCTTATGAGCTATTCACAAATGAGCTTTTCAGCAACTAAGCCTATCCACTGCTTAAGTCAAAGTTTGCAAAGGCAGAAGTTGGTGGGACACGGCAAACTTATTACACACATCATTGCATATATTATAGTTCAACATTTCTCTTTTGCAGACAAGTCTACATCCATATATAAGAACAAAGAATGAGACATCAACGACAATTACAACTGCATATAGTCTACATAATTTTTAGAGCAATAACTGGGGCTCACTATGAAATATAGAGAGAAGAACATACCTGAAAGGAAATGTTGAATGGAGGTAGAATTGTTCTTGAGGAACTCTTCGTTAAAACTTTTCATATTCTTGTTAACAAAGATGCTTTTCATTTCTTGTTCCAGTACTTTATTAACTATTTCTGGGAGATTACTATGATCTGAAACTGCAAACATAATAAATAAATTAAAAAATAAATAAATCACAATATAAAAAAATTAAATAAAAAAAACCTCTAAGAAATGCAAATAGTAATTACGTACACTTAGGTTATCCAGTAAAAGCACCAGTCCCAGCACTCCTATTTCCTCCCCAGAACATGTGGGTGACCAGTTTACTTTAAATACTAGTTTTACTCATGCATCCACCCTAGCATGTATTATACGCACACTCAATACACATTCAGTTATCACTTGAAATGCACTTACCTAATTTTGAAAACCGTATTAAACACTCGTGCAGCCATGGGTTATTGCAATCAATCAAGAAAGCTCTTTTAATGGACTGTAACATCAAGAGAAATTTCCCTGCATTAAAGTAGAAGGAAAACGGTCCAAGTTATTATACTGTAGTTATATACACTTAATGAGTGGAATAAGCTGCCTCTAAAAGACAAAAAAAAAAAAAAATTAAAACAAATTTTTTTTTTTTTTTCTCTTTAAGACTGTTCAATCTACTTCAACATGCAATGTGTGGTGAAAGGCATTACAAACTGGTACACTAAATCTTCAACCTTTGAGTCAAAAAGATTAAAACCTGCGAAAGTTAATAAAATCAGATTTTACCTTTTCTAAAATATATCTCAAATGCCAGTAAATGTGTTTGTATGTTGTTAGCTGCAAGGCTCTTCAGGGGGGTGAGGAATTTGATAGCTTCTTCCAGGGGGCTTTCCACCTGTATGGTAAAATCACACATGCTTAAAAATAAGAAAGAAAAACTAGAATTACACAGAGAAAATCATAGTCTTGAATTTAAAAGGGAAAACACATCAATCATCTCTACAATAAAATCTCTTAAATCTTGGTCACCGATAGGTACTAGTGGCTAACCCACTAGCTGCACTTGGCATGCACATGGTGGGTATTCACAGATCATGTGTACCACCTACTCTGGAGCAGTTAAGATAAGGCAATATTAAAAGTGATAGTCTCCTTATCAATAACTTTTCTAAATGTCTCAAATTATTTATGTATATTTCTTCAATGCTCATTAAAATAAATCCAACCATTCCGATTAGAACACCCTTATTAAAACCATGTGATATTTGCTGTAGTTCTGTCTTTGTAATCGTTTTATATTATATTGAACAGGTGAAGACAACAACACTATATAAAGTATAGTAATGGTTAAAGATAACCTGCCTATAAAGAGACTTCAACATGGTTTGAGTTTCATGCTTGTTAGCGCACTTATACATAATTCATATACATATCAGTGAATAATTACCTCAACAGGCACACAACTAACAACTGGCTTACTGATTTCCTATCAGTACTGTGCACTACTCCGCTTTGCTGTGCCTTGTTTTAACGTAATAAAGCAGCTAGGTTTGGAACACTAACTGCATCCCATTTGAATGGTATTAATTGGAACACCATTCCACTCAGGGAGACCTTAAGGATATTTTTTGCTCTCATACTTACCCTGTCCAACCTTTGAGAAACTGCAACATTTACATTGCAAGGTTAACTTCACATCTAGTGGCTGCCATATTGAAAGAGTAGAGGCGCTTCCGCAGCACAGACTGCGTAAAACTGTCACATGATGCGGAAGCCCCACAGGAAAGCATTGGCTCAATGCTTTCGTATGGGACATTTTTAATGAGTGCGCAGCAAGGAGTTATAGGATTGAAACCTGCTGGACTAGTCAGAACCTCCTATGTGATGTCGGCGGGGGAGGAGAGGTCAATAGCACCGAGGGAGTCTCTGTGCTGGAATAAGGCAAGTAAATCTTTATTTATTTTTTGCTCAGGTAGGGACACTATAGCGTTACAGATTTGTATTCCGAATGCTATAGTGTTTCTTTAAAGTCATCTGCATTTTAACCTAAAGCATTCTATATATTGAGATACGTATAAAAGAAAGAAATGAAGCACATAAAAAAAAATAGTTAGCAACTGCTAAAGTGTACACTAGATTTACACAAATTACTTTTTGTAACATATACGACTTCTAACTTCAGTGCATAATTTATTATAGGGATAATTGAAACATGTTCAATAGATCATTAATGCCAGGTAACAATTCAGCTTAAACGTAACAAAATCAGTTGTTTCATGGTTATATTCCCACCATAACAAAGACCTGCCCAATAAAGTGATAAGTACGCTGCGTGGTGGTGTGATAGAGTAGAGGAAATGTAGAGAATACTTACCTCAAGTTTAACCTCCTCAGTGAAGCCATTTTCCACTCATCGTCACTCAACATCTGCCTCAACCTACTTTAAGTTGCAGGACTTTTATGCATGAGCAGGAATACCAAGTGGAGGCATATGGGAGATTCAGTATGCATGCAGGATCATCTAACTTCTCTTGCGTGCAAAGGCATGTACCATTGATTGAAGTGCACAACTTATCCCTACTTTGGCTTAAGTCTGTCTTTTGATGCAGTTGTAACTTCAGTAAATATTTTTTTTTTTATAAAAATTGTATCTCAATACAAAAAAGTTAGAAGTAACAGTGCCCCAATATAAACTCCTTCGTAGACTGCAACTATGAAGGCTGGCATAGAATCTATGCCATTTGTCAAAGTGACGGGATGGGTGTAATTTTAATAGCAATTTATCTAAAATTCTATACATTGGCTAGCATATGCGCATGCACAATGTATATGTAGTTTACATTGAGGAATTGACTGATAAAAAGAGTAGAGAGTACCATGACAGGTACCCTATAAGGGAGAGGGATGGAGGAATTATCCCTCACAACCATTTGTAAACTTAAGACATGACATTGTCATGGAAATAAAATCAGGCAGTAACAGCTCTGCTTATAAGTCAGCTTACCCTTTCCAGTTTGTCAGGAATCAGTTCTTCCTTCGGTCCACTCGTTTCCTCTTCCTCCTCATCTCTTTTCTTCTTTTGGTTTTTCTGCTGACGCTCTCTCTCGGCATGTTTCCTTTCCTCCTCTAGCTTTGCCTTTTTCTGAGCCCTCCTTTGTTTGCTTAACATCTTCTTTAATTCTTTCGCCGAGAGGTTTTCTAAACATCCAAATACAAAGATTACCTTGCAACTATCTGGATGGACTTGGTTTTCCCAAAGGAGACACATTCACTCATTCACATGACTTCAGGTATATGGGACAACCTTATTTAGGTATAGGTATTTCTCCTCTATAGGACTAAAAGGATATTAGCACACAAAGTTTGTAACATCATGGGAAATGTAGTAGGGATCGACCGATTATCGGTTTTACCGATATAACCGGACGATATTCGGTATTTTCGACAATATCGGCCAATTCAGATACTGATATTGCCGATAATATATAACAGGACCGCCAGGCTCAATACAAGCTCGGCAGTCCTGGGGGGAGCGGGCAGCAAGCGCTTACTCACCTCCCAGCAGCTCCTCCAGCTCCCCAGTGTAACTCTCGCGAGACCTGCGGCCGTCAGAGCGTTGAGGGTTACCATGGCAACTCTCCGCGCGGCACACTGGCCGCGAGAGTTACACTGGGGAGCTGGAGGAGCTGCGGGAGGTGAGTAAACGCTTGCTGCCCGCCCCCCCCAAAGCTCAGTCAATGTCACTGGACCACCAGGGACTGCTATATCCCCCCTCCCTGGCCAAGTATGAAACAGGGAGGGGGGACAACAAAAATAAATAAATATGAAAAATAAAATTTTTATAAAAAATGCCCACTCACACACACACACTACACAAACACACTGTGTATATAATGCAGTGTGTTTGTATAGTGTGTATATAATGCAGTGTTTGTGTAGTGTTTATATAATGCACACTACACAAACACACACTATACAAACACACTACATTATATACACACACACACTACACAAACACACTGCATTATATACACACACTACACAAACACACTGTGTATATAATGCAGTGTGTATATAATGCAATGTGTTTGCGTAGTGTGTGTATATAATGCAGTGTTTGTGTAGTGTGTGTATATAATGCAGTGTGTGTTTGCATAGTGTGTTTATATAATGCACACTACACAAACACACTGCATTATATACACACTCTGCATTATATAAACACACTACATTCATTATATACACACACACTACACAAACACACTACCCACACACTTTGCATTTAGTATATACTGCATTCACTTTACGCACACTACCCACACACTACACAAACACTCTGCTTTCATTATATACACACTACACAAACACTCTGCTTTCATTATATACACACTAGACAAATACACACTGCATTCACTACACACTAGACAAATACACACTGCATCCACTACACAAATACACACTGCATCCACTACATCTGCACACACTACACAAACACATACTGTATCCACACACACTGCACAAACACACACTACACAGACACACACTGCATCCACTACACACACTACACAAACACATACAACTCCCCTGTCTAAACACACTGCATCCACTACATGTGGCATGTATATTTTGTGCATTTACCTTTAGAAATAGTTTTTATTTTCCAAAATGGTAAATGTACAGAATATCGGCAAATTATATCGGCTATCGGCTCTAAAAAAAAATCAATATCGGTCGATCCCTAAAATGTGGTTTAGAAACATGTGATGCCAGGGTAGATATCACTGCCCTCGAGAAAATTTACAATAAATCTATTACTTTACATTTCTGACTTCCACCAAAAGCAACATCACCACAAGTGGATTTTGGGGATTCCATTTCCAAGAATGTTTTAATTACCCTCAATAAAACACTTATTTGATGATCTTTACCTGAATTAACCTCTTGCTCCTTGCTTTCACTGGTCAATGGATTTTCATGCAGTTTCAAGTAGATTCCAATGGCAGACTGAGCAGCTTTAAAATAAAAGGCATGTTGGCGGAGAATGTCCTCCAGTCGCAGAAGATCTACGTAGGCACGCAGTGTCATTTTCCTCATACAATATGTGTGAAAATCAAACTGGTCATCTGTGATTTCAAAAAAATGCTGACAAAGAGAGATGGAAATGTTAGTTGTGTGGCCAAACATATTTATCCAATTTACAATAGCAATTTTTTTTTGTTTTTTTTTGTGTAAATGTCGTTTTATTGAAGTTTTGTCTAATATTCAAAAAGCTTTTAGTCGATGTGCAGTGTGAAACACGCAGGTTTCCAGTGTTTAAAGTAGATTCAGTGTTTTGAGATACGCAGATCTCTAAAGAAGCGGTAATGGGTGAGACTCGCAGGTCTCTAAGGCAAGGTAAGTATCATATTTATGACATTCAAATGCATGTTTGTAAGTCACCATTACTCAGTTAAGGTGTTAGTCAATAGTGGTTTGCCTTTCGACTTAGCTGTGTGCAATTGTTATGCGGCTTCTCGCTCGTCTGTTAGCCTAGGGTTCTATGATGAGTTCTACTGTTTTCCCAACCTTGTGGGTTATCAGTACAGTTTGTTGTGTCATGTCCTAAAACAGTATAAGGTCTCGGGTAAGGGTCCTGGTGGGGGTGCAATAGCAATGTTAGCAATAGCAGTTTGGGAGTCTAAAGCTTTACTTTTTAAACGTAAAAATAATCTACAGTGAAAATAAGATATGGTGAGAGCACAAAATAAAATATAATACCCACAATGTAGTCAAACAATCTAGGGAATAAAATCAAAAGAGAAAGACATAGGGTAATATTATTGAGAATTAATATTAAAACATAGGTGTTGGTCTCACTCACATAAGGGGAGCCACTTAATAAGCTGGCTCAGACTGCATGCCTTGAATAAATGAAATAGGACCTCTGCTTGGAACTTCTGTCTTCTCTGTATGTAGTACCTCCAGGGCGCAGGATATCAGGGGGTTACAAAGATTTTATTTTCCAATCTCAGGATACAAATTAAAAACAGAAGTAATAAATAGTTACTTGGGACTAGTTATTTGGGACTTTTTATTTATTACTTCTGTTTTTAATTTGTATCCTGAGATTGGAAATTAAAATCTTTGTAACCCCCTGATATCCTGAGTCCTGGAGGTACTACATACAGAGAAGACAGAAGTTCCAAGCAGAGGTCCTATTTCATTTATTCAAGGCATGCAGTCTGAGCCAGTTTATTAAGTGGCTCCCCTTATGTGAGTGAGACCAACACCTATGTTTTAATATTCAGACTCAACAATATTACCCTTTGTCTTTCTCTTTTGATTTTATTCCTTAGATTGATTGACTACATTGTGGGTATTATATTTTATTGTGTGCTCTCACCATATCTTATTTTCACTGTTCACTTGTTGTTTTTGTGGTATGTGTGGCCCACAAAAGGTGATAGGAACACCACTATTTACTTTTTAGGATTTCTTTCACAATTGTACTATATTATTAAAAATAATCTAGCAAAAGGATCAGTAAAACCATAATTGGTGTATGACTAGTGTTGCCAAATACAATAAGTTTCTCAAGACATAGCTCACAATAACATGCTGAATTGTAACGCATGTACAGACCTATCCTGTAGTACAGGTATCAAAATGTCTAGGTTTTGACATTTTAATCTCTGCTGTGTGCTATAGATTTTACATGCTGCAAGAAGAAAATAAATCATTCAAGAAAGCAAGGATTTATTTTGATTAGTAAATTGTTTACTTTTGATGCAGCACATTCTATATGGAATCTCTTTCATATTCTATCCATCAGCATGAAGAAACAAGTGTTCAGGAAATCACAGAAGGAGCTAACAACCCTAGCACATTTATTGCCATCCATGAAGTAGCCAAAACACTGGACAAAAGGGAAAGTATTAATTCAACCATCATAACCACTACTGCAGGCTGAAGTTGTTATGTTCACAGGAGTAACCTGGCACCGTTCCCCGGTAATGGGGCAAGCAGCTTTGCAATGGTTGCCCATTACCTGCATTGTGCCAGGCTCAAAGGCTGCCAGAATGGCAGCTTAACCACATCTAATTGGTAGGATGCTAATCGTGCCACTACTTAATTGGCCGAAAGGGTCAGCTGAGCACGCTCAGTCAATAAGTGTGTAAAGAAATATTCACAGAAATTTACATTAGCCGTGGCGGTATGCTCATTCTGTGCGGTCTAATTACCTTGCCTCTGTCAGGTTATAAGAGTCTCTGTGTACGTGCTGGCTTTCATACTACAAACCGTGCACATACAGACTAGAAGCACCTCAACCACTCCAAACACTGTAGTGGTCATGGTGCTTGGAGTAAACCTTTAAAGATATAATTTTTTGATACCAGTGGATTTAGAACAGTAAATGGCAAGCTGAAAAATGATGGACAGCAACGGTGAAAACGGATGAAGGGCCTTTGAAAGAAATGTACTTGTTAAGAGGGGTTGAGAATGTTGATATCTAATCTTTCTGTTCGGCATAGGAGAAGCAAACAAGGTGCAAACGCAATGACATTAATAGTAGATATTTGCCATAAAAACATTTACAAAGGTAAAATTATGGAGACACCCTAACAACAAGAGAGCCTGAATGTTAGGTTATGTGAACTAGTACCCTTTCAATCTCATGGCACTTTTTCAGAGCTTCTCCATATTTTCCTTGTCTCTGAAAAGCTGCTGCACATTCTGTCTGGAACCACATGCACTGCATCTCATTTAAATTTTCCATGGCAGGTGTTCCTTCCTGAAACAGAAAATGTGGGATGGAATATTGAAGACTTTAATATTGATGCACCGCACAAACCATCAATATTTCTCACACTGAATTTATTTATATAGATGCACAGCACAATCGTTTCACATCAGTAGATTCTGAATGTTACATTAAAGCCACCAGAACAACTACAGCGTAATGTAGTTGCTCTGGTGTCTACAGCCTGTTCCTGAAGGCTTTTTAATGTAAAACACAAAACTTTCACAGAAAAGGCAGTGTTTACATTAGTGCCTAGTAACACCTATAGTGGCAGACACCCAGATGGTCACTAGAGGTGCTCCTGGGTCAGTGCTGCACAGTGATGCTGAATGCTCCCCATACAGACGCATTTATTCAATGCATCTCTATGCAGAGATGCTGATTGACAAAGGAAGGCGTTTTACTGAGCATGTCAAATAGCCTCCCAATGTTTTCCTATGAGAAAACATTGATTTGGCAGAGATCAGAGTTGATGATCTCAGCCACGGAGTCAGACCAGTGACATCAGCAGTGAGACTGGTGCAGCGCTGTAAAAATGATAAGTAAAATATTTTAAAGGGAGGCAAAGTGAGCCCAGTCACCTAAATAGTGATTTTAACACTTTAGTGCCAGATATACAGGTTAGTGTTCCTTTAAGTCTTCTTTAGAACGTTAGGCAAGAATTGTAGGGAATGCAAAGTGAATTTAAATTTTAAGGCCAAAATAGCTGAAGTGGAAAAAGTCAACTTTGATTCCAGTTCAGCTACGTTGCACTTACATTTGGAATTTGCTTTAAATTCCAACAAAGCCCACTTTAGTGAATTACCAATTATTAAAGGACCCATAGTATTTGAGAAGCACTTTTTCCCACTATCATTGCATACCCGTGTAAATTTGGAGCACATCTCCTCTGCTTCTTTAATCATATTGGCTCTCAGCATGTACTTGGCACATTTGGAATTGATGAACCGATCTGCAGTGTCCAAAGACTGGGCCTCGTCCATCCACTTGGCAGCTTCTTTCAGGTTACCTATATGCTGTGTGAAGGAAATATTTAAGGGTCAAGGATTACACGTGTTACTAAAACCTTGAAGCAGGCACTCTAAGGACCATAATTGTAATGGTTAATGTACATGGAGAGTTTGGATGAAATCCCTCCAGTAAAACTGTACAAACAGCTCTTAAACTACACCCAAGTGTTTCTCTCACCTTGTAAATCTTGGCTTTCATGTAGAAGAGTTCTATTAATGTTGGCGTGCTGGCAATAGCAGAGTTGATATAGTCCAAGGCAACAGACCACTGACCCAGTTTATCAAAGTGCT